GCAGTCAGGACGTTAACCAGTGCCGTTATGGGATCCTGGCACTTGCAAAGCAAGGAGTTAATCACTGAACCATTATTCCAGGCCCAGTATCTTATGTTGTTTTTTTTTCCCCCGTAAGTCTGTTAATCCAGAACCATTTTTACTGACTGCCCTCGCTACCCCCCCCCCGCCAGTTTGTTTAAGGAAATTAGGTCAGTTGTCCTATAGAATGTCTCATTTCTGGAGGTGTCTCCTTGCTTCCCTGTGGTGATATTTGATTTATTCCTCTATTCCTCAGTTTCCAGTAGATTGGGGTGGTTTGGCCATTGTGAAAATCATTTCACTTTTAGAAATATGCATAAATTGATTAAAATTAATTTCAGCCCTGTGATTAATCTTGCATTCTTTCACTCAAACAAACATTTGAGTGCCTACCAAGTGTCAGGCACAATTCTGGGTGCTGAATTTATTTGTTATTTGTTTTCTTAGCACTAATTTTGGTCTGGAAAACTAAACATTTGTTTTAAATTTAAATTATGACACAAATTAAAATATATATGAAATGGGAGCAGCATTTGTTGCAGTGACTAAGTTCTGTGTCACAGTGTCTGGTCAGAGTCTGGCTTCCCCCGTTTCTGATCCAGCTTCCTGTTAATGAGCACCCTGGGAGGCAGCAGATGATGATGCAAGCACATGGATCCCTGCCACCCACATGGGTGGTCGGAATTGAGTTCCTGCAGCACGGCTGTTGAAGCAGTCTTGCCTGCTCCCTTCAGATCCAGGTCCCTGCTAACACACCTGCACTAGTAGCAGATGGTCTGAGTACTTGGAACCCTGCCACCTACGTGGGAGACGCAGATGGCGTTCCAAGCTCCTGGCTTTGGCCTGGCACACTTGCCATTCCAGTTATTTGGGAAATGCAGGTAGAATATCTCTCTCCCCCTCCGATCCCCATCGCTACACCTTTAATCCAAAAAACTAAATCTTTCAAGAAACATTAAAAACAGATAGAGAAAAGTATTTTACCCTTGTCACTTTCAAATTCCAAATAAGATTTTTAGTTTCTGAAATTTGTTTTGGAAATTTCTTTCTAAATTTATAAGGTAATTAGAGCATGTATTTCCACACAGTATTTCCAATTCATCTTTACGATCAACATTAAAAAGTTTTTTTTCTTTTTGTCCTTGAAACCATGTAACCCTGTATTATTTACTTATTATTCTCTTCCTTATCCACTGGTCTACTTTTGGGGCAGATAACAATAGTGTACTTTTTAAATGATAAGATAATACAGGTTTCTGTCCTAGAACACGGTTTTCCTGTGTTAGGCAAGAGCAGCATTGTTGACAGCAGTATTAAAGTCAGTATTCATGAGCTCCTAACACTCTACTCAAAATTGTAATTCCTTGTCACTTGTCATTTGAGCTGCAGCCCCTGGGACCCCCAGAAGATACTAATGTGTGGATCTGTCTGGGAAGCTGAAGAGAGACTGAATACTACAAAAGGCTGCTAAGAATTCTAGATGCCATGTGGGAGCTTTGCTTGATCCTTGGAGGTCCCTTATATAACAAATAGATGTTGTGACCTAGCTTTTTTTGAAATGTAAAAAAAATGGTTTTCCAGTGATTTGATATATATATTAACAATGTATTTAATGAGATGAGGGGTAGAAAAGCTGCATATGTTGAAAGCTGGCAGAATACATGATATTAATAAATTATAACTAATTTCTTCACATATTAGATGTAATTAACTTGTTTATTTGCTTTTTTTCAAGATTCATTTTTCTTTGAAAGGCAGATTTTACAGAAAGAGAGGAGGGGGAAGAAAGAGAAAAGAGAGGGAGAGAGAGAGAAAAGAGATCTTCCATCCACCAGTTCACTTCTCAAATGACTGTAGTAGCTAAAGCTTGAACCAGTCTGAAGCCAAGGAACCAGGAGCTTCGTCCAGGTCTCCATGTGGGTATCAAGGGCCCCTGGACATCAGTTACCTTCTGCTGTGTTTCCCAGCCCATTAATGGGGAACTGGACTGAAAGTAGAGCAGCCAGGATTCAAACTGGCACCCCCATCGGATGCTGACTTAGCATACTATGCTACAACACTGGCCCCTTTTGTCTTATTCAGGCTTCTTTCTGCCGCCAGTTGCCCACGTATAGAGTCTCTTTATCTATATAGGGAAATAGAAGAAATTCATTTCATTTAGTTCACTGTATTTTTCAGAGCTATTCTAGAAACAGAACATTTGATTTGGTTAAAAAAAAGTAAGATGTTAGGGGGGAAAAACACTACAGAGTTCCTCGAGCCGTCTTGACTTTCCTCGGTGGTGACGTGTTACTCTGGAATACCTGTGATACGATGTCAAAGTCAGGAAGTTGGCATTGGTACACTTTGGTAACTAGGTGGGCTGCAGATCTGATCAAAATTCTCTTTTTTAAACTGCATTCATTTGATTTTGAGTGTCTAGGTATATATTTGAATAGGTCTATGCAATTTAATCAGATAAATAGATTCGTCTGATTCCCACTCTAACCATGACACAGAATTCTTACATTACTACAAAAGAACTTCCTTGTGCCACCTTTTTCTATTTATGCTTAGGGCTATCTTTTTTCTTTGTTTATTTGAAAAGTATAATTATAGAGTGAGGGAGACAGGGAGATCTTCCATCCTCTGGGTCACTCTCAAAATGGCTACAACAGCTAGAGGTAAGCCAGTTCAAAGCCAAGAGCCTGGAGCTTCTTCCAGGTCTTCCATATGAATGAATGGGGCTTGGGCATCTGTCATTGCTTCCCCAGACATATAAACAAGAAGCTGGATTGGAAGTAGAGCAGCCAAGAATCAACTGGTGCCCATATAGGATGCCAGCACCACAAGCAGCAGTTTTACCCACCACAGCACATTCTCTTTATTTTTTTTTAAAGAAAAAATATTTAGTATTTATTAGAAAGGCAGAGAGTGAGAGAAAGAACACAAAAACATGAAGAAGATATCTTTTCTCTTCCAGTTTTACTCCCACAGATGCCCCAAACAGCTAGGGATGGGCCAGGAGCCAAGAACTGCAACTGGGTCTCTTCCTGGGCAGCAGGAGACCAAAGGCTTGATCTGTCATCTGCTGCTTTTCCTGGAACACCAGCAGGAAGCTGTATCAAAAGCAGAGCAGCCAGAACTTGAACTGGTACTTCAATGTAGGATGCTAATGTTATAGGCAGTGGCTGGTTATAATCTAATGTGCCATAATGCTACCTTCTGTCTTTCTATCTCCTTCGCTCTCCTTCCTTCTTTCCTTCCTTTTTAAAGAGAAAATTAGAAATAGTATTGTATTTTAAAGTTTGGTTTCTGTATCTTCATTACATGTATAGTAACATAATTAATTTTTGTATATTGATCTTAGATCCCACAACTTTATTGAACTCATCTGTTAGTCCTGTGGCTTTCCTTTTTTTCTTTTAAATTCTTTAGTATTTTCTGAGTGAACAATCACATCATATGCAAAATAAAGGCAGATTTATTTTTTCTTTCCTGATTGGTAATCATTTTTCCCTCTTGTTACATTAGCTGGACTTTTAAGTATTGTGTTGATCATGAATGGTGAGGGTAGATATTTGTGCATTATTTCTCAGAAGTAGGGAAGTATTGCCTGTTACCATTAAGTATAATATTAACTCTATGATTTTAAAAGTGATTTATTATATTTATTTGAAAGGCAGGGAGAAAGAGATCCTCCATCTGCTCGTTCATTTGCCAGATGACCACAAAAGCTAGGAGCTAAGAACTCCATCTGAATCTCACATGTGGACAGCAGGACCCAAACAGTCAGTGTGTGACTGCCTCCCAGGGGAAACTAGCAGGGAGCTGAATTGGCAGCCAAGTAACGTGGACTTGAACTAGCATCTCTCTGCCACAATGCTGGGCCTCTATAAGAGTTTTATAAATATTTTTTATCAAGTTGAAGAAATTTTCCTCTAATTCTAGTTTTCTGAATTCTTTATCATGAATATTGGATTTTACAAAATACTTTTCTTACATCTATAGATATGCATGTAAGTGTGACTAGAGAAATCAGCCTGTAATTTCTGCTTTCCCTAAGTGCCCCTTGCAAGCCTCATATTCTAGTGATAATATGGTTGTTTAAAGAAATGAAACAATCCGGAGTAAGCAATTTGAGATCTGAACTCATGTTATTGGTGATTCTACATTGCTGAATGTCAAAGGGCGTTGATTGGATACCTGTTGGAGACCTGGTCTTTGCTTCTCTTCTTAGCATTATTGTAGTGTTTCTTGAGGAAAATAGAGAGCAAAGTAGTTAACAGTTTGTACTTTGGAATCAGACTTTGTTCCAAGGTGGCCTTTATCATTTAGTAGCCACCTGGGACCTTGTTAACTTGTTGTCTGTTTCCTCCTTTGTAAAATGGAACTAATAACAGTTCATTTTGTGAGATTAAATGAGATAATGCATAGAAAATGCATCTTAGATAATAAGTATTTAATGCACGTTGTCTGATGTAATACTAATATATTTAATAAGAATTTTTAAACATTCTTACATTAAAAGCATTGTGACCATTTGGAATAACACAGCATTATGTGAAGTACAAATTCAGTCTTAGAAGAATGCATCATGTAATTTTCAAATAACCCGTATGTTTGAATAAATGAGTGAAAACTCTGTTCTCTTCTTCCGACTCAAGATGAGTCATCAGTCTTTGGTCACTACCTTCAGCTCCTTTCCATTGTCCCTTTTCACCCCGTTCCCCCGCCCCTCTTATATCCCTCTTTTTTGCTAGTGATCAATTCTTGCCTACTTTTGTGGGAATTTTCTCTTTGTCTTTCTTCATTTCCCTTTTCCATTTTCCTGTTTTGCTTAGTTCCCCTGATTGTGTATTGGGCCATTTTTCTCTTTATTCCCTTCCATTTCCTCCAGGAACCTTAGGGCAGCTCCTTTTCATGTCGTGCTCTTCTGTTTCTGAGCCAAAGCAACCATGATGAGCACTAAGCGTGAGAGAGATAACTTGACTCCAAAGTGATAATAATTTTAAAAATTAATTACATTAATCTCCTGGAACCTTATAGGTAACCAGAATTCCTGAATAGACTCTTCACTTCTCTCTTGATTTTTTCCTAATTAAACTTTATTTTCTTCAAGTAACAGCCACAAAATAAATAAAGATGAAAAGCTCAAATTAATTTTTATTTTCTACATTCTGAAAGAATTCATTTCTATTATATTCTCAATGCAGAATTACAGTATTTCTGCCACTGTATGAACTTTTTAAAATATATTTTTATTTTGAATTTTGAATTATGTGGTGCAATTTCGTATAGGCTGGGATTCTCTCCCCAAACTCTCACACCCCCAACAGATTTTCCTCATTTTACTACAATGATGTAGTCCTTTATAAGGAATCCTGTTTCAGTTAGTCTTATTTAAGTGTACCCCAACATTGCTGGTACACACAATATCAGACAGTCCAGCATCCCATTGTCTACACATGCCCAACAGTTTCATTGGGAATCCATCTTTCATCTGCAAGCAGGGATGCATGTTCCATTATACCCCCACATCTGTATATGATGGACCCCAGTACTCCCATCACCATACATTTTCATAATTGAGAAGCCGTGAAAAAAGGTCAACAACTGGTATGAGAACAACCACAACAACAGCAACATCAACAACAAATTACAGCACCATGAAAAAACATGCCACTAAGTAACCAACACATGGGTGACAAAAAGGAAACACAATAGTCTCTAGGGAGAAATCATGCCACCATGTAATCCATGAGTCAGTGATGAATTCGACAAGAGAAAAGGAATTATTTGGAATAAAAACTGAAATAAGAAACACTTTTTATTATAAATACTTTTTATAATGAAAAAAAAAATTTTAAAGCTTTTTAGGTTTGGCCTGAGAGTCTGACTTCCTTTACATTATTCCTAGAGGAAAATTCATTTTTCTCCCAGACAAGCCAACTCTGGGAACCCCCTTTGTTTGTAAATTGTGTAATCTCTGTACTAAATGTTCCAACTTGTAGAAGATTGCAATCCTTGCAGGTATTTCAAAGAGCCAAACTAGCCTGCAAGTGCAGCATTTGTTCATTCTCGTTGCTTAGAAAACTAGAGATGTCATGACAATTCTGTTTTCCTGTAATATACCAGGCCTATTGATCAGAAGTTAAAGTTGATGGAGCACATGTCCATGTTAGTGACTGTAGCCATCACCCAATGTCTTGGCCAAGTTTAGCTTCTTTTCTAATTTATGTACCTGTGAAGTGTTCATTAAGCACTTTATTATATAAGCCCATGAAATGTCCATAGTAAAAAAAAAAGTAACAATACCGAGCCCTGTCATGGACATAGAAAGAAAAATGTATACGTTACCTTCATTACATCATCTGTCTTGCCTCTGCCTTTGCATTGGGCCCTTTCCTCCACCTCCCACCCCCAACCTGTGCCCTTGAGGTCACGTTGGCCTCCTCTGTGCGTCAAACATCCTGCATTCATTTTCACCTCAGGGCTTTTGTACTTCCTCTTAGCTCTGCCAGAAAGAGTTTTCTTCCCAGATGATTACATGTTTGGTTCCCCTTTGTCATTTGGACCTCAGTTTAAATTCATTTTCTCTAAGATTAATTTGCCTGATTGCCTTCAAGTTACCTCCTATAAGATGACCGTAAAATAAGAAAAACCCCACATACACAGTCATACTTTTGGCATTATGATAGTTGGTTTTCTTACATTATGATCATCTTATTATTATTTGTCTCTTACTAGAATGCAAATATTACGATAGAACCATATTTGTCTTGTTCAGTGTCCTGCCTATTAATACTTGTTGAATGAATGATGAATCAGAATGGTGGAATTTCTTGGTTATCCAGAAAAGCTGCTTGTGTTGCATAACACCTGTATAAGTGTTTTGGCTAGGGTAATAGATATAACTGGACAATAATAAAAACCAGAAGTCATTTTATGTGTGAGGAATGATCCATACAAATAGCTGCCGTGCAGACATCAGCAATCATTTGTTCAACAAGAATTCATCTGAAATGCCAGTTTAACTAGAGAGGAAGAGAATACCTGGAGGGTGACCATAGAAGAATCTAGATAAGTGAGATTCAGAACGTTAAGGAAATGATTCACACTGGCCAGACAGATAATAAGGAAATAAAGGATTTAAGGAAAGTAAACAGGGTCTAACGCAAAGAAACTAGAAAGTCTAACATGCCTAACTAATTCTATAGAAATTCAAGTGAGGTAATGGTGATGATGTGGAGGAAACATGGCTAATTAAACTCGTGAGTTAAATATAAAAAATTATTTTAATACCACTTTTCTTTAGGAAAAGTTGATTTTTTTAAAGTTGATTAAAAATTGATGTTCAAACGTTTGGTAGTAGATACCCACAAGATGAATTTTTAAAATTGTGTTTGAATCTTGATTCTCTGATGAAAGAAACTAGCAACAGGACTATTAAAACCCACTGATAATAAGAATAAATTACATTTAAAATTATGTGTGAGCCACTAAATACTTTACTTGACTAGCACATGTTAGTGCCGGAATCATTTTTATTATCAGCATTTCACAGATAAGCAAGCTGAAGTTTAGGCAAGTTTAACACAACTGGACCTAAGGTCAGAGCATGAAGGGATAGGGTTGAATTTCAAGCCCTGGTGGCCTGTCCAATTTCAGAGCAAGAGATCTTAATCATTTTTTTCTAGTTTGATCATACTTTTAGCTGATCTTTAAAGTTTTTGTGTCATATCATCTTCCTTATCTTAATGTTTAGGACACAGGTATCCGTACTAAACCTAAATTGCATAATGCTCAGTTAACAGATAGGTACAATACTGGTCTACTGCATACCAGACATGTCAGCATGATAAATTTATCAATATTATCTGGAAAGTCGTCTACCCAATTTCATGAGTGTACTTCAAAGAGTTTGTAATGTTATCTCTGATCTAATGCAAAATATAAGATCAATAGATATATAGGTAAGCATGTGTATACTTAGATTTATCTAAAGGATCTGTATAATGGAGGCAAGTATACCATGAAGTGGAGGTAGATCTCTACTTGTGAATAAAAAATAGTCTCCCCATAAAACTGTTAAATATATTTTGACACCATAATTCTGGCCTTTATACTATTCTCTACCTGCAGTGTCAGGGTACGCTTAAATGATAGAATGATGGTCTTGTGATTATTGTTGAGGGACTGAACTATTGTTACAATATAGGGGAAAACATGGACCTGTTATGGCAGCCTAGAGGCTAAAGGCCTCGCCTTGCATATGCTGGGATCCCAAATGACTGCTGGTTCTAATCCCAGTGGTCCCGCTTCCCACTGTTCTAGCCACTTGGGGAGTAAATCAGCAGATGGAAGATCTTCCTCTCTATCTCTCCTCCTCTCTCTCTCTCCTCCTCTCTATTTATCTGACTTTCCAATTTTAAAAAAATCTTAGAGGAAAATAGTGAAGGGGAAATGAGAAGGGAAAGGGTGAAAGGGGAAATCCCTGACCCTAAGGAGTTGTATCATAAAAAAATAAATAATTTAAATGAAAAAGAAATTTAAAGATAAGTTTATGTTGGTGCAAAAGTATTTTGAAATCCATGCATATAAAGCGTCTTGCAAAAAGATGATGAAAAATTCATATTATGAAAAACCTGAACATGGATTTCAAGCTTTGTTTGCACAAAAATAAATGTATTTTTCTATTCTGCTTTTCCCAAATATTTTGAAGTACTCTTATGTGTTGCTTTTTACATTAAGAGAAAATTAAACTTACTGAACCATAGTTTCCATAAAATTCTCTATTTGTGTCACTTAACAGTAGATTCAATATAACAAAAGAGTTGACAGGATAATTTACAGAATTTAGGAAGTAACATTTTTTAAAAAATCATTTTTCTCAAAGAACAGTTACAGAGAGAAAGAGATCTTCCATCTGCTGGTTCACTCCCCAAATGGCTGTAACAGTCGTCTGTAAGCCAGGTCAGAGTTGGCAGCCAGGAGCATTGTCTCGGTTTTTTGTGGAGCGACAGAGACTGTAGCTCTGCACCACCTTGCTGTGCTTTCCCAGGGAGCCGGATCAGAAATGAAAAAGCCAGGGTATAAACCAGCACCCCTATGGGATACAGGAACAGACTGAATGGGATCAGTGTTTTGGCACAGCGTGATTAGACCACACTGACACTAACATCCTATATTGGTGTGCTGGTTTGAGTCCCTTCTGCTCTGCTTCTAGTCCAGTTCCCTGTTATGTGCCTGGGAAAGCAGTGGAGGATGCCCAAGTGTCTGGGCTCCTGCACGCACCTAGAGGAGACCTGGATGGAATTCCTGGCTCCCAGCTTTGTCCTGGATCATCCCTAACTAATGTGGCCATTTGGAAATTAAAGCAGCTGATGGCAGATCTCTTTCCCTTCTGTCACTCTGCCTTTCAAATAAATAAATAAGTCTTTATAAAAAAAAAGAGAGAGAGAGACTGAGAAATGTCCCTGACATTTTGACCCATTTACTTTACCGTTTCTCTGTATTTATACTTAGATGTCATGCCTTTTTTTTTTCCTGAGCTTTGTTGTAGTACCTTGGGGACATGGTGAACTTCACATTTAAAATGCTGCTGAATGTATTTCCTAAGAACATGGACTTTCTCTTAAAGTGCAGTTATCAAATCATGAAATTTGTTACTGACACACTACTATTATCTGATTCATAATCCATATTCTAATTTTGTCATTTGTTCCAATAATATCCCTTCTAGTGTTTTTTTTAAATGGGGGTCCTTATGTCTTGTTAGAGTTATAGAGTTAGAGTACTCGAAAAACAGCCAGGTTCTACAAAATTATGCTTCAACGCTATAAACTGCTAGATACTAAAATTAAAATAGACATGAGACAGCTGAATAGTAATCTATAGCCATTTTAAGGTGTATAGAATCCAGTTGTATATAAACTAATAATTGTAATGTCAATGTAGAAGTCATAGGATGTGGTTCAGAACTTGCACTCGTTTTTTTTTTTTTTCTGTCTCTCTCTTTTAACATGCTGGTTACTCAATACCATGTCAACTAATTCCATTATAAATGTTACTGATGTAATGTCAGGGCTTTTAATTGATCAGGATGATACTCTGTCGGCTCTACCTTCAGACCAGAGACGGTCTCCCCAAGAAACCATTGAACTTATCTGGACAATAAGATGCTGGACTCTATGCTTTGTAGATGCTTGCAATGAAAGAATCTCAACTGAACTTGAACTGTGGTAATGCAACAAGGTGGAAGAATCCACCCTGGGGGCGTTTGGGGAGAGGAGAGGGGAATCCCAGTGCCTATAAAACTGTGTCACATAATGCAGTGTAATCAATTTTAAAAAATGATTTAAAAAAAAAAAATGGGGGTCCT